CTTGAATAATCTTAAGACATGGAATTGGACTTGGTTCGTACGGGTCCTGGAAGACCTGGAAAGTTCTGGAATTTTGTTGTGGCATTTTCCAGGACTGGAAAGTCCTGGAAAAAGGTTACTGGTCCTGGAAAGTTCTGGAAATCTGTTAAACTCAAGTAAAAAATATGAAATGTATGGCAGACAGTAAGGAAAATTAACATTGAGATCTTGGGAGTGAAAGCATTAATGTGAATTTTAGAATCCTGGAAAAATCAATCTGAGTCCTGGAAATGTCCTGGAAAAGTCCTGAAAATTTGTTTCTGAAAAAGATTACGAACCTTGATTGGAAACCAATGATTTATATGGCTCCTTTATTTTTCAACAGCACTATATAGAGGGTGAGAATAATAAAGTGAGGTCTGTTTCTCTGTCATCTTATGAGCCATCTGCAGAGAAGGATGTTACCCTGCTAAAGAAAAAGAGAGATATTTTAGCTGTATGTCTGGCTCATTTGGTTGTAGTCTGGACAGTTGCACCTGGATTACAATGGACTGTGCTTCACAAATGGAGTCTTCCCACTGTAAGAAAACAATTAATTGAAACATTATCCTTGTTGTTTATTTGGTATACTTGTTAAAAGTGATGTGATGAACAGAGCTTCACTTTGTGCAAACTACCAGAAGAAAACAATCATTTTTATACTTAAATGAACCCTGACATATTGTTTGCAAAGACTACATTGCAAGCAATTCTGAACGCCCCAAGAACTCAGTATTTGGAAAGGTGCAATAAACATTCAACTGCTGAGTGCAAGAGTTTATTCTTGTAATTCAATATATAGGTATTTCTCTTGTTGATTTATTATCCTTAAAAGAAAGAAAGACATAAGGACACCTAGGACAGATGAATACAGGCTGGTGAATGGACTGCTGGTTGATTTTTAAGTCACTAACGTAGTTATTAATAAGAAATCCTCTTGTAATTGTAGGATGGAGGAGAAGAGTTTGTAAGTGTACAGATTTTACCATTGAAATCTCATGTTGCTCTTCTGGTTGGAGGGAATTTTAATGGCGGAAATGGGAGGTGAGGAATATGATGGATTGAATAAGTGTTTAAAGGAATTATTTGGACAATGTTGGATTCTGTTTTCAATGTTGACTTTCATTCAATGCAGGATTCTTGGGTATTCTGAGCTGGAAGGTGACTATTCTTTTGATTTCCAACAGGATGATCAGTAAGTTTAATGTTACAGTAATACTGAGTGGCTTTTAATTAAGTGTCATAAAACCAAATCCAAAGTAATCACTCTGGCCAATCACAAAAGACACAGGCCATCCAGTGAACCAATCAAAACTAAAAGCAAATACACGAAGCTGACACAAAGCATGGGAAAAAATGTGCAAGCAAGTCGCAATTGGTTTTGGTGTCACTTGTGATCGGAGGACAAAGTTGTGTGAGTTTGTTAAGCCAATCTTGGCATAATAATGCAAATTACATTCGACACTCAAGTGGAAACTTCTCTAAAAATGCAGATTGGATGGTTTTGTCATCAATAACACAGAGGTGGGAGATTGAGGTTGGGAGGGAGAGGCAATACCAAACTTAATCATTACTTTGTTGTTCTGAGGAGCGTAAGCTCCAGGTTGGACCTGGGGTCTTTGTGTTGCTTTCTTGGACACGTTATTTGACTTAAATCTCACTGGTTTACAAAAAAATATATATAAGTGGGTACTAGCAGTTACTTGGGTAACAACAAAAATGCTGCAGGTAACTTGTAATGGACTAGTATCCTATCCAGGGGGAGTAGAAAATACTCCTACTTCTAAGAGGTCAAACCAAAGTGAAGCACCAGCTTTTCATGAAACCATGGCCACTCAGTTTTGAAAAGGTTTTACTTTACTTTGCCACTCCTGAAGAGGCTCCAGCCCTCTGAGTTATAGTGACCCTTTTTCTTGGGAACAAAGGTGCTACTTAGCTGACTTTTACATTTTGTACTCTAGGAAAAACACACGTGTCTTTTCAACCATGTGTTTATTATGTGACACAATGGGAATGAGTGGCAATGAAGGTGTAGTGTGTGCTATTGCAAGTAGAACATTTCATGAAGTAACATTGACCAAGTGGACGTTGGATGCCATTTACCTGTGAGTACCATGCACGTAAAATTCCTCCTCTGTGAAGTAACTCGGCAACAATTAAGATGCTAGGAAACTAAATCAAAAACACCCAGGTGATGGTAGTGTTAGGGGGTTACCGTGGTAGATTTGCTGGTTTCTGATTGGTCAACAGTAGATGTGCAGGGAGCGGTTGTGGAGTGTATCATCATGGTTCTTACTCTAACGTTTTATGTTTTAACTTTTAAAAACTCTTCCCTAGCTGCCTTGAGCAATTAGTTGCTCACTGTAAGGCTACCACTGTCCCTGTTNCAATTAATATCGTCCTAGAAATCCCGTGCCGTGAAACTCAAATTGAAATATATCTAGATCCATTTGGTGTTCAACTTTAAATTCATTGTATCCTGCTCGCAGAAAACCAGTTAGGATAAGAACACAATTCCAGCAGCAGATACGTAAGCTTTTTCAACTACAAAAATTGAGATTTGCGTTTAAAGTCTGTTTGGGTTAGTCGTTCGTCCAGTAAGGGACCGGACGACGAGAGCGCTTTCAAGGAGGATATTACTATTTAAAGTAGAGGGGAGGGGGGTGGGGGATACACATATCACTGGCCGCCATTTTGGAGGGGATACACATATCACTAGTGATATGTGTGCGGGGATACACATATCACTGTGACAGCGGTATGCGTCTGGAAACTGAGGGACAAATAAAATGAGCGAAAAACAAAATTCGCTTTGACTTGAAGCTTTCAAAAGGTGATTCGGACGCTCGCATTTACAGGTCGTAAAAATCTTACAATTCATTTTATTTCACAATTCTTGGTATAGTGTCATAGCCAGCTCCATAAACTTTAATTGGATATAAAGGTTTAGGTATCTACAGTTTAAACCGGACGCGCTTGCATCACTTGGACGTGAGACACCTCTAGAGGTATACGGTAACCTCTCTCGTCCAAGGGATGTAGCGCGTCAACAACAAACTAACAACAACAACAAACTTTCATTATGACTCGCATATTTACAATTTTACAGAAATATATGCACATTAAGTTAAAAAAGCTTGACAATAGCAACAGCGCGAACCCGCAGGTAGCCTGGGATAATCTGGGCGGGCCACATCTATATTTATATTAGACCATTAATACATAAATAAGATTGTTATGCAACTACTTATAGAAGGATCGGCTTAAACTGTAGATACCTAAACCTATATCATATTAGGCTTATAAAGCTGTCTATCACACTATAACAAGAATTCCAACTCGAACTGTCGATCAAATGCCAAAGTAACTTGGTTTTCTCATATGATCTATTGTTCCATGTTTCCGGCCATTCACAAAAATTTAATGTGTCCAGCATCCAGATCCTGCTCACTGAGCAAGAAATGATCTTGTTACGAAAGCCTCAAAGCGCCGTGCAAGATCAAGGAATCGTGCGAGTTGAGAACGTTCCTTTGATAAGCACAGCAATGTGTTCCTGATTATCTTCCTCTTACCTTATGGTTCCTTATTTTCGCAGGAACTTAATTTCGTGTAAATGGAACAGCCATATTTCGTGGGACTTAAATTTCGCAATTTGCCAAAACAAATACGTTAATAGGAACTATTTGTCACAAGAATGACTTGTTTTAATATTGTACAAGTATATTATATTTGAGTTGATGATAACTTTAATAACGGAGGCTCTGGACAAACAATTCATTCCACTGGTTGATCTCTACTAAAATTGTTTGATTACAGCAACTACAGACCTTCAGGAAGTTTAAAACTGTTTCATGGGGAGAATTTTCGTTGAAGTTCTCGATAATGAAACTTATGATGCCACGTCCGGTCAGAAATTTACTTCTGTTTTAAGGTCCCTTCGTTAAAATCTGATGAGTTATGTACGTGCTCAAACGGGGTCAGCTAAAGATCAGCGAATGGATATTTTTGGGAAGGGACGAGCATTGGATTTATTTCGCACTAAAAATGCCGGCTTCCTCGCCGCCGGCTGAGGGGGAAATCCCCCTAAAGTCCACGTCCATTTGCTGGCTGTTTGCCAATAATGTGATACGTAAGAATGAAAAATTGCTTATTGTACGATTGAAACTGAAATTGGAAACCAACGGATATGTTTGTTTATCTATTTTTGCGTAGCTGGCAAAGCTGTAATTTGTCCAGTAAACATCGAAGAAGGATTCTTGCCTGCCCATTCCTCTCCCGGCTGCAACACTCCCATATTTTTGCCAGCAGGATAATTTACTTCCTTCTTTTTTCGAATGTACCCTTTAGTTTGTTGTTTCCAATTCTGCTATCTGCTTCAGGGTCTCCTTGTGGTATGGGGGAAGACGTTTTATACTTCGATCGGTCCAGTAGTAAAAGAAAAGTTAAGCCCTATCAGAGCTTGACAGAAAACTCGAAAGCGAATACACAGTGGTTTGATCCTTCCACTGGTCGGCTATGTGCGATGCAAGCTAACCCCTCTATGGTACCTGTGTCTATGAACCATAAACAAGGTTTTTTTGGAGGTGCACATAGCTCATCTTTAACTGAAACTCGCGGCCAAAGTTGTTCATCAAAAGAGTTTGAAGACAAAGTGAAATCAAAGAGACGACATGGCGAAGGACCGAATTATTCGCCGACGAAAATCGGGAGAAGTGTCACTGGTCTCATATATTGTGGAAGGTGGGTAACGTTGAAATTATGCGTCGTACTTTCTTTTATATCCTCTGACCTCAACCATACTGCGATGCGTCTTTTTATATGCTGCGCTGCGATGTTGATACTGTTTTACATATACTTTCACCATGGCTTTCACCCAAGAACTGTACTTCCGTGTTTTGGTATACTTGATAAATGTGAAAACCGACTGTCGGGAAGCTGTTAGCCGACAGGTTCACTCAGCACTGAGTAAATCCTTTTATCAAAATTCTGAAAAACTTGCTGGGGGGCTGGGGAAGGGGGGGTGGTGTGATGCCACCCCCACTTGCTCTTGAAGCAATTTGTCTTGCCAAATCTCATTACACAATTACACAATTTTAAACAAGCAATGAAGAAACGTTTTTTGGACAACCAGGTTATTGCCACATTTTAATTTATCTTAAACAGTCTTACTGTTTAGTCTATATTAGCATTTTAATTCATTTGTTTTAATTTATTTATTGTTTCTGATGCTTTGTATTTATGTTTGTTAGAGTTTTTTTAGCTTTTAGAGTTTTTTAATATCTATTAGTATAATGAAATATTGCATTTTTAGATTTTTAGATCTTTAGAATTATCGAAGTGAGGGCCACAAGATTTTTAGTGAATGTTCACTATTATGTTTTAACCCTTGATAAATAAAGGCTTTACTTACTTACTTACTCTCTCACGCTTTGAGCTTTGATGCATTTTACTAACAACGGAATTCAAAAGATATGCTCAGATTAACTATTGGTTAGCCTGTTTTAATTTTTTTTGTGACGGTTTAGTTCCTAAGGTTTAAGATTTTGATAATGAAATAATACTAGAGTACTTGATAATAAATTGTGTTTTGTAGAGATGTATGTAAACTGATGTATTGGTTTTTCTTACAAACATGTGACGTAATGTTTGTTCTGAATTTTTTTTTCTGTCAATGAATTTTATTGAATAACCAAAATTGATTTTAAATGGGAAAAACAAAATGAGAGAATATAATTTGATATTTTAAATGAAACGATGCTAACATCTCCAATGCACGACAAATTAACAAATATTTTTGCATAATGCGTGACACCAAGGTATGACCAATCCTATTATGGTTCTTAAAATCATTTCTTCTACCGACTAGAACAACCATTTTTGAACACAAATCATAATCTGCCAAAATTGTTTCATTAATTTTTCAGTAACCATTAATTTCAGTAATTTAATAAGATTAAGATAAAAGTTTCTTGTTTGGTTGATTTCAGGTATTTTGGGGTACAATCCCCTGGCCATGATGGGAACTGTGGACCAACCAATGGCCCTAACTGCCCAGCCTGCAGAGTGCTAAAAAGTGAAAGAGTAGAGAAACTTCGGAGAAGAGGCAAATTGCAGGGGTGGACTGGTGAGGTTTATTGTGGCCGGTATTTCGGTATTCAATCTGAAGGTCACGATGGCTACTGTGGTCCAAATAACGGCCCTTCTTGTCCAGAATGTTACAATGAGCTTTTACATTCTTAATGTAGTGTGATCAGACTTAAGCTTTATGTGATCTAACTGACCCATTTTCGTGTTTGGAGTGTTCTAAAATGTAACTCTACTCTTGCACATCCTTCACACCCTTTTTCTAGTGCGAAACCCAAGGTAATGTTCACAAAATTGGTGAAGCTCACTTGTGCACATTCCAGGTTAAGTGTATGTTGACAATCACAACATCTTGAACAATGACGAGACTGTTTATATTTTAGTTCTAATTTCTCAAGATGTTTCGTCACAGGCAGTTATGGTCATGTGGGTTTTTCCAACTTCCAGGGCTGCATTTGATGCTGCAGAGTAGGTGGTGTGAGTTTTTTGTTAACCTATCGTAGAATATAGTAGAATATAGTAAAGCTGAATGGGAACTGGTGAGAAGAGGAGTCCCCTAGGGACGTGTCCTTGGTTCCATATTTTTCAACATTCACATCGATGATTTATTATGCCATATCAAGCAGGCAAACCTGAATGCCTACGCTGTTCATGAAGAGTTGTACTCGTGTTACAAGGACCTCGAAACACTAAACACACGGCTGGAACATGAACATGGAATTGCTAACAGTTGGTACGAGTGAAATGGCGTGATTGTAAATCCAGACAAGCACCAGGCAATGGTGCTTGGCACGAACAGTAATTACGAATTCTCTTTTCCCGTTAAGAATTCCATTGAGTTATTGGGTGTAACTGCTGACAAGGATTTGAGCTTTAATCGTCACATCTCACAGATATGTGAGAAGGTTAACAAACAATTCAGTGTTCTCAAGAGATTTAAAAGTATCATTACCAGTAATGTCATGCTACGTTTATACAAGGCTTTTATCCTACCACACCTTCAATATTGCTGTCTTATTTGGCATTTTTCTGGCAGCGGAAATTGTGACAAACTGGAGTCTTTGAACAAACGTATTTTACGATTTATTTTTAATGATTTATTGCCTGTCTAGTTATGATGAACTGTTAAAGAAAGCAAAGATGGCATCCTTATACACTGGAAGACTTCACAAAATTCTTATGGTAGTTTTCAAGAGCTTATTTGTTTCTACGTATCCTGGATATCTAAAAGAACAATTCGTTTTTCGCAACTCCAGTTTTTCATTAAGAGGAAAGAATATTGTGGCTTCACCTATACCAAGAACAACAAATTATGGACTTGAATGCATCCGATATCAAGCTGCAAAAATTTGGAATTAGCTCCCATACAGTATGAAAACAATAACATCATTTAAAGATTTTAAGACAGTCATAAAGAAAATGAACTTTTAGTAGTAGTTATAATTATTGCATTAGTAGTAGTTTTAATTATTGTATTTTAATAATTTAATTGATTTATGTACTTTTTTTTCTTTCTTGAAGATATTAGCTCAATAGAACTACTCTGATAATTCGAGTTAAAATAAATTGTATGTATCTATGATGTAGCAAACCTAGTGCAATTCCGGTTTTGATTTTGTGGAAAACCACTGTATCAGTATAACTCAAGTGAGTACTTACTAATAATAATTAGGTAAAATTATTATTGTTTTGCTTAGTAATGAGATAAAAGCTTACAATGCAAGTTTAAATTCACAATCAGCCTCTTTTACCACATTTTGAATCTTTAGTCAGGGAAAGTTAGATTGTAGGATATTTGATTTCTAGATAATAAAAAATGACAATGTTAATTCATTATTAATAATTTCTGTTTTTATGTCTTGTGGCTCTATTTGCTCGTTAATATATCTATTTTGTGTATACTGTAGAACTTCCAGTTCAGAACACCTCTCGTGAGCAACTACCTCTCCTCAGCGACCAATTTTCTAAAATACCAAAAGTTTCCAAGCAAAATCACTATATTTGGAACCTCTTGTAAGCGACCACCACTCATAAGCGACCACGACCACTTTTAGAGCTAAAAGTTTGAAATTTTCTTTTGTTTTTAACCTCCCGAAAGGGTCCACTGAACAGATAATTGAGCGGAAATTGGCTTCTAAGGTGTTGTAAACGTCACCATATTAACAGTTTGTGCAATGCCTAAAAGTGTGTACTCACCTCGCCTAATAAATCCATAGCATCAATCCCTTCCTGATTGTACATCTGATTCACATGCATACAGCTGGATCAAGACTGCGGTATAGTTCTTGTAAACGCTGTTGCTCCAGTAGCCAGTCTTTGCAAATGACAAAAGACCTTGTACACTCCCATGCCAACTGTTTCAAACCCACACAAAACACAAATACGGTTAGTGTTAGCGTGCACCCATATGCACAAGTAATTCCAAGTATATTACAGATGGACTTGGGAGACTGGCAGAGCACATGTTAAGTTAGACTTGTTCTCAAGCAACCCTTTAATACCTTTCTCTGTACTCTACCAACTTACCACTTGCATCCATAACTAGACGAATGAATACAAACTATGTAGCAACTTTAAATAGCCATCTATGGCACATCGGATATGAGATGGCAGATAGCCAACGAGGCACAGCTCTGAGTTGGCTATAATCACCTCATATCCAGCGAGCACGAGCGGAATAATTGTTTTATTAATAACACCCCCAACATAGAAAACTAAAATAAAAATAAAAACACCCTAACAAATTACGTGAGCACTTGTCATATTTGTGGAGCATGCCAACTCTTGAATAGCCAATGATTCAGTTTTTGATAATAAGTGTTAGAACCATGATGACCTAATCCACAGCTGTTTATTTACACATCCACACTGGCCAATCAGAAGCCAGCATATGTACCGTAGTAACTGTCAATAGTATTAGACGTCAGTATAGCTACAAACATAGTAAAGTCATGACCTCGAAATAAAAACACTGATGTAGCTCGTTTGAATCGTTACTTCAGCCCAAGCTATAATCTTTCTGCTTTTTGCATTGGTAACTGCTATTAGCTTCACTTGACCTCCTTTGTCCACGAGTAAATGTGGCCTGAGTGAGGATGATATCTTGATTGGTCAGAATGTAGATATGAAATGATCCTTGCCGCTATGAGACAACTGAAGTAGTTGCAAAGGAGGCTTTAACGAGATTCTTATCTGTAAACCCATGCGAATCCGTAATGCTTGTGTAGTCCTCTACCAGTTGCACCATGAGGCTGCTGGAAGGAGGTCACAAGATCAATCTGGCAAGTGAAAAAGGACATTGAACTGCAGATAAACTGCAAATGAAGTCATGTTCCCATGAAAAAGTTACTAATCAGTTGTAAAGGCAAGTCTGAGAGAGCACGTTGCTCTTATTTCGATCAATTTAATTTTAATTGATTTTTTCCCTTGGTTCCATCAAGGTCGGTGAAACAGCAACATTGTTTTGCACCAATAATCACTGAGAGTGACTTGACATCCCTTCACGCTGTTCAAGGTAGCCACTGCCTTCTCCTGGGGACAACAGATGATAGACTTTTTCTGTGGTAAGTTCTTGCTCAGGATATGAACATCATGTCCAGCTGACAGAGCACAATAAGTCTACATCTACATGTACATTGAATGAAGTCGGCCAAATCGCAAGATATTTCACCAACTTTTCTTAAAAATAGATTACGTATACTTAATGCTTAAATAATGATAATAATAATAATAACAA